AGCCCGTAGATAACTACGGATAGAAAGGGTGCTAACACCTTCCCTTTCTATAATCTATCTCTCGTACTCAAAATATCTCGAAAAAAGGTTTTTCTGTTCTTTTCCCTTTTCCATGATTGGATGAAATAAAAGTCAGTGGCGACTTTTGCTTACTGCGACATTTTGCAAACAAAAAAAACAAAAAAACGCAAACCAGTGTTAATAGTCGGTTCTGCCACCGTATCACATTCCCAGTCAAACAGTATACCAGACTTCCTCTGGTTCAAATAAGTCGCTCCGAAGATTTATTTTGATTCTTTTCCAGTTGAAATCAAATTCAGATATAGTCCATTTTCTATCAACCACCTTTGGATGGCATCTACAAGCCCATCTTCGGCAAATCTCCATCATTCCTCCAAATGGCATTTATAAGCCCATTCCCATTTCATCTTCAAGTGCAAATTTCTGGGCACTCTAGTGTCCAATCATCTTCCACCTTCAAGTCACGAATGGCAGATCCGCCAATCTAACTCTTTAGGTTTAAGAAGATTGAACAGGGGTAGCTGTTGTACCCCAAAATTTACCCTCTCATTTCTCAAGTAATCTCTCACAAGATCTCCTTTGGTTCAAGACTGCATTAGGGTTGATCAGCTCAAGACACCCCCTTAAGCCTTGATGACTGAAAATTATGGTTTGAGATTAAACAAGGACAATTTGACTTTCAATGCCCCATATGACTTTCATAGATAATTTTGGACCCTCAAGATTGCTCATGTCAAGTTTCAAGTCTTGAATCACATTTTTGCCTAATCAATTGATCAGTTGACCTAAAAATCAACTATATTGGGGAAAAAGTCAACTGTGGCCAATTTACAGTCAAACTTCATAATTTTTATCCATATCAACCTCATAAAATTATATATGTCATTTGATCAAGTTTGGATCACAATTCCTCAAGAAATTTGATCAGATCATCAAAAGGGCAAAATGGTCAAAATTAGGGTTTTGATTGAGAAAGGGAAAATTCTGATTTTTGACCTAGCAAATGGTTACTTGGTTTGAGGCATGATCTCAAGAGTTCAATTGCATCTTTTTGATCTAATGACATGGCTCAAAACATCTCTCAAGATCAATGGGTTGACATATGAATTTTCAGTCAACTAATTAAAAGTCAACTGCACACTGAAAAGTCAAACTTTGACTTTTTGGTCAAAATCAAGTGCCAAAGATCACAATTCATCAAAATATGAAACTTATTCATCAATAAATCAAGAAATCAAGATTTCATTTTGAAAAGTCAAAATTTCTAAACTTAGAAATTTTTCTAAGTGTTGAAATTTTCTTATTTTTTCACAACTTTGAGCAATTTTTTCATCATGATGCAAGATGATTCAAAGGAAATTTTCAAAATTAAAGTTGTAGATCTCAATGAGATCTAAAACGTTGTAGAATAAAACTTATCCTAGAAATTCATGGATTTTAAGTTATGATTTTGTGAATACATGTTCATGAACTAAAAACATTTAGTGAAATTCTGCCCTAATTTGGTCAAGATTTTGACCTAACTTCATGACACTTTTTCACATAGTTCCAAGGGGAATATTCAAAATCAATTCAAATATGGGTTGTATAGCACATTGCAAGCTTTCCAAAATGTCCAAGAACTCCTTGAGATCATTCTTGAGCAAGGAGAATCGAAGAGAGAAAGTTAGGGTTTCAAGTTGAAATTATAGGTCATTTTTGTGATGAACAAAATTCAAATCTCAAACCTATGCTGCATAATCTTTGCTTTGCAAGCCTCAAAATTGTTAGGCACTCCTTAATTAAATGCTTTCACAACTGTTGGAGGCTTCAACTCAAGCATTCAATGTAATGCTCATGCTTTATGTCCATTTTAGGACGAAAGTGCACAATGCCATTTTGATGAAGTAGCTTTATGCACAAAACTGGTTCTTGAGCCTTGAAATTGTTTTCTTCTGATCATACACGACCTATAAGCTCATGAGAATTACAATCAGTGAGCCCATGCTTGTACTTGATCTTGGAACCATACTCCCACTTTTCTTCAAAATCAAGTAACATAGCAATCAGTTTGGGGCTTGTACTTCTGACCTTCCCAAGCATTCTAACCTTCTCATTACTTATGTACAAGTAATTTGAAACAAGAGAGACAGAGGTTCAAGCCCTGAAATCGCCCCAAGCACCCTTGCTGCACAAAACTGCCCAACTTGATAGTTTTGAGCCAAAAACTTCCAATCTCCAAATTTGCTCGTGCGTTTCTTGGCCTTTCACTTTCAAAAGCCTCTAAACAACACATACAAACAATCCCAACACCTGTTACACTTCTGTAACTTCATCTTCACCATCTTCCATTTTCAAAAACAACACCTTGCACATTGACTTCTCTGGAACTCCTCAGCCACTTTCAGCTCAAGCCGAGTATCACATTAGCTTTCTGGGAACTTGAGGAAGCTAACCCAATCATTGGAATTCATTAAAAGTTGCTCAAACTCAAAACACAATACCCTCTTGCAAGGTGGTCTCGCTGGAGGTTGAAGATGAAGTGTATTCAGGGCGCATTTTGCCTTACATATTAATCATTTCAATAATATAAACTGATGTACAACCACCCTAGTGGTAGAAGCGCGCGCATGTAACCTTTGGAACCTGGGCTCGAGCCCCAGTGATACCCTTTTGTCCATTTTTCACATTTTTTTGACTTTTCTAACATTTTTTATTTCTTTTTGCAGGCGTTGGGCCCTTTGGGCCTGACTTTGTTTTTTTTATTTTTGCTAGCATATTCTCTGCCTACATTTTACACCCTTGACTTATTTTTATATTTTTTTATTATTATTTATTTTCCTTTTTTATATTATTGTTATTATTATTATTATTATTATTATTATTATTATTATTATTATTATTATTATTATTATTATTATTATTATTATTTTTATAAATAAAAAACCAAAAATATTTAATTTTTTACATACCTATATTTTATTCCTTTTAAAACCAAAAGACAAAATATTTTCTTATTCAAAATTCCTTTCCTTAAATATAATTAATATTAGACTTAGGATATTTTCTTTCTTATTAAAATTAATTTAGAAATTAGGAATTAAATTAATTTTTTCTATTCACTTTAGTTTAATTAGTTAAACTAAAATCCTTTTTCATAAAACCCTAAAAACTTGTTTTCCTCAATTAATTTAATTTCTTTTCTAACCAACCTAGGTTTAGTTCTCTTAAGTCAAATTAATTTATTTTCTTAGTTAATTAGGTTAGAAAATCTTTTCTTAAAAACACAAACAAAATCAACTTTCCTTTCCATTTACTTTCTAGTACATTTATTCATCCTTGTACATTATTATTCATTTAATATGATTGTAATAATAATTAGGTTTTAATTACTTGTCATTCCCCTTATTGTAAATTTGCACCCCTACCCTAAATGTAATAGCGTAGTAATTTACTTTCCGCAATTTATCGCTTTATATATACATGCTAGTAATTAGGGTCTGTATGGAAAGCCTAAAAACAACGCTTAGAAAACCCTAATCAAAGACAAATCAATGCATGTAAATCAACACACTTGCACACAAGCACCCCTAGGGTTACTCCACTTTGTTGCCTTACCAAAATGGCCATATTATACATGTGAGGTATCTTAGCAAAAATAAGCAAAATACAAGATCATAGTCCCTCGATGACGCTATCTATGTTGCCTTTAAAATGATCTTAGTCCCTAAGGAAAATGCTAAGATACCTTACAACATTGCTAATCATGGTTATACGATAACCCTTACCCGTCCTTTTTACATTCAAAGATAGGGTTACTTACCAAACCAATGGTAAGATAACAATGTCAAAGGAAAGAGGAAATGAACAAGAAAGACTTTTGAGTAGATAGAATGTTCCTAGTTATTTGCTCAATTTCAAAATAAAACATCCTTGCTATTTTCAAAACAAACACAAACACTTTCAACCAACATCTTTCAAACTTGAAAAATATTTTCAAAAGATCAACACTTTGTATACATTCTTACGAACGAGAGTCATTACAAAGTTTTCCTAAACAAATGACACCTTTTCTAAATACTTTCAAAAACCATACAAAACACATTTTCAAACAAAAACAAGTGATCTAGCAAGTAACTAAGAGCCAATGGAAAACCATGGATAAAAAGGTGCTAATACTTTCCATTTTTATAATCTACCCTCTGAACTTAAGAAAACATCTCAAAGGTCTTTCCTATGCTTTTTCACCTTTCCTTTTGGATAAAAGAAAAGTCGGTGGCGACTCTTGCTAACCGCAACATTTGCGATCAAACGCAAAACAACCAAGTCAGTTCTTCCACCGTATCACAAATAACTATATTTTGTAGAAAACTCGTAAATACCCATGTTTCCAAAAAAAATTGAATTCACGATATGATGTGTTGGTTAATTATTACGAATATAAAAGTAATTAATGTAAAATAAAGTCAATTAAATGCTAATTATTCTAATATTTACCTTGCATATATAAGTATAATTGATTAGAAAATATTAAATTTAAAAAAAAAATCATGAATTTTAAATTTGAATTTAAAATAATAAATATTATATTATAAATATTTTGAACTATAGATATATTAAAATAAAATATATTAAAAATAACCATTATACAAAATGAAATACAATAAAATAGGTTTCTAAAATATATTTAAAAAATAAATTTATCAAACAATATTTTTCATTTTTCATCTTTAAAACAATTTAAAAAAATATCATACATATTTTGTTTTATTTTTCTTCAAAACAACCTTTTAAAATTGATTTATAAGTTAATTTAAAAAATTAAAAATTAAAACTCATTTGAACCATCTCTATATAACAAACATTTTCTCCTTAAGAAAAGAGGATTATTAAAATCCAAATTCTCCTATTTCTCCTTAGAATTTCCAAAATAGCAAAACTCGCCTACTGTGTAGGCTTGGAGCAGTTTTCTTCCTCAACCAGCACCGCCAATAACCACCATGGAATCCAACACGTCGTCATCGATGCCACCGGATTTGGCTGCAACGAACGGAACCACAAATCCAGTGTCGCCATCGCTAGTCAATTTGTACAGAATAACCAAAGTTCTGGATCGTTTGGCTTTTCACTTTCAACCTGGCAACCGGAGCGATTCTTTCGAGTTTTTTAACCTATGCCTCTCCCTCTCTAGGTTTCCACTCTTTCACTCTGCTTGTGTTTAACTTTTAGCAATGCGTTTGTGTTTAGCTTTATTAATGTGCTTGCATTTAGGTTTAGGTTAACCTGGATGAAGTTACATTTCAATTTCTAAGTGAAAATTTTAGCTATGTATTACGCAAATAACATTAAGTTAGGGTTTAGGGTTTAAGTTAAAAAATTTACCCTCAAATGGACATACTATTCACACTAGGAATGGTTTTGCATATAAATGATGAATATGGAGGATGATACTGTAAATGTGATGTGTTTCTATTTTTGATTGTGGATTTACTTTGAAATGCAGAGGGATTGATTATGCACTTGCCAATGGTGAACCTCCGCCAAAAGCTAATGAACTGCCTACCTTGATGAAACAGGTGATTTCCAATCCGGATGGATTGATTACTCTATTACTTTTTTCTTACCATTTTTTGGAGAAGGGGGAAAGGGTTAAGAAGAAGTTGTATTTTGTTAATTGCTATGCCAGTAGGTTTGGGGCTTTTACTCTTCCTTTTTCACACAGATGTATCAAAGAAAGACGGATGAACTATCACTTGCAGCTGTGATGGTTTTGATGATATCTGTCAAAGTAAGTTTGTTTCTCGGTATCGATGAATTTCCATTAGTTGTGATTTACTAAAAGGTTTCTATTTTTTTGTTGAATAACATTGAGAGGGAGAACTATTCTTCAGTCTTTACTCTTCAAGAAAATGCCCACCAACACTGTTTCATGAATGTTAACTTGTAAGAGCATGACTTAGAAACCTCAAGGGTGTGTTTGGGAGTTTGGAAGGGAGGGGAGGGCTTGAAAAAAGAGAAGGATTGAGTGGAAATAATTGAAAGATTTTGGTTGGGAGGGTTTTGGAGGGTTTGCTTTTATTCACAACACCAAAAAACCCCTAATTTGGGAAACTCAAAATTTGTATTGAAGGAAGGTTTTGGAGGGGTTACATAAATTTTCCAAATATCTTTTATATCAAATTTAGAATAAATAATATTGTTGTTATATTATTATGAGGTCACTGGACCTGTATATATACATGAGCTTGTAGTCTATTTTAGGGAATTGGACAGCTAGTTCTAAGGAAACAAATCCTTGTGATTATGGGATTGATCCTAAATAAATAAACCTAATAATTAGCAAGATATACAGCTGTTACAGAATTACTGCAAATATAAACCTTCCTAAAATACATAAAGACAATAACTGTTTTGACACTCCCCCTCAAGCTGGTGAATAGGTGTTTTCCATTCCCAGCTTGGATATAATTCTTTCAAAGTTACTGCAGTTCAGCCCCTTGGTGAGTATGTCTGCAAGTTGATTCTGAGTGGATACATATGGTGTGCAAATCATGCCACTGTCTAGTTTTTCCTTGATGAAGTGTCTGTCAACCTCGATATGTTTAGTTCTATCATGCTGCACCGGGTTGTGGGCTATACTAATTGCAGATTTGTTGTCACAATATAACCTCATAGGTTCATCCCATCTTATCTTCAAGTCTTCCAATATAATCTTCAACCATAGAAGTTCACATAGTCCTTGGGCCATTGCTCGAAATTCTGCTTCTGCGCTCGATCTAGCTACTACACTCTGTTTTTTGCTCTTCCAAGTCACGAGGTTTCCACCAAGGAAGGTGCAGTATCCATTAGTTGATCTCCTATCTACCACTGACCCCGCATAGTCCGCATCCGTATATGTTTCAAGACTTACACTCTTGTTTCGTTTGAACAAAATCCCTCTTCCTGGGGTCCCTTTCAAATACTGGACAATTCTAAGAGCAGCTTGTAAATGTGCTTCCTTTGGTTGGTGCATAAATTGGCTGACTAGACTTACAGCAAAAGCAATGTCTGGTCTAGTGTGAGATAAGTAAATAAGTCTTCCCACAAGTCTTTGATACATTTCCTTGTCCACTGCAATATCCTCCTCCGCACTTCCCAGCTTTATATTTGGATCAACTGGGGTACTTGCTGGTCTACAGGCTGTCTTACCTGTTTCTTTAAGCAAGTCAGTAATATACTTTTGTTGAGATATGAAGATTCCTTTCTTGGAATGGGCCACTTCAATTCCCAAAAAATATTTAAGTCTCCCTAATGTCTTGATCTCGAATTCCGTGGCAAGGCATTCACTTAACATTTGTTGCTCCTTTTTGTCATCCCCACTTACTATAATATCATCTACGTACACCAATAAAATTGTTACTCCCCCTGAAACTGAATGTTTGATAAATAATGTGTGATCCCCTTGGCTCTGTTTGTAGCCCAGACCTAACATAACCTTGGTGAATCTTCCAAACCACGCTCTTGGGGATTGTTTTAGCCCATATAAAGCCTTTCTTAGCTTACAAACAGTTCCAGCAGCAACCTGTCCATTGTAACCAGGGGGCAACTCCATGTATATTTCTTCTTCAAGGTCTCCATGTAAAAAAGCATTCTTCACATCGAACTGTTGCAGGTCCCAACCATAATTTGCTGCTAATGACAATATTACTCTGACTGTGTTCATCTTAGCAACCGGGGAAAATGTTTCCAAGTAATCAATTCCATAGGTTTGAGTGAAGCCTTTGGCCACTAATCTTGCCTTGTAACGTTCAATGGTCCCATCAGCCCTGTACTTTACTGTATATACCCACTTGCATCCTACTGTTTTTTTTTCAATTGGTAGGGTGACAAGTTCCCATGTTCTATTCTTGCTTAACGCCTCCATTTCCACATCCATGGCTTGTTTCCATTTCATATTAGATAATGCTTCAGATACAGAGGAAGGTGTGTGTGTGGAGTTGAGGTTTGTGAGGAAGGTTTTATGGGTAGGTGAGAATTTTTCAAAGGATAAGAAATTTGATAGTGGGTAAAGTGGTTGTTGGGTGCATGCTCTAGTTCCCTTTCTAAGGGCAATGGGTAGGTCTAGATTTTGGTCCATCTGTGCTTCTAAATTTTCAAAAACAAACTCATTAGAATCATTGGAATTTATAGGATTCGGAAGTGTTACCTCATGCAGTGATGATGGGTTGGACTCTTGGACATTGCCAGATTCTAGAATGACCTTTTCTCTCCTTGAATATACCAGATTTTTCCCAAATTTTCCACCATTAGGTGCAGGTTCAGGTGCAGGTCTTGCTGTTGGTTCAGGTACAGGTGTAGGTGCAGGTTCTGCTGTTGGTTCAAGTGCAGGTCCTGCTGTTCTCTCAGTTTCAGGGACAGCAATGCCATTTGTCCCAATTTCAGGTCCAAATGTCATATTTGGAAGCATGAGAGTCTCATCTTCCTCTCTTACATTCTCCCCCTGAAGATGAGGCTGCCCAAAGTAGCTCTCTCGTTCGTTGAAGGTGACATCTCTTGACACATAGAATTTTTTTGATAGGGGGTGAAAACATTTGTATCCTTTTTGTGTGGTAGAGTACCCTAAGAATACACATTTGACAGCCCTAGGGTCCAATTTCCTCCTTTCGTTACTATGAACATGCACAAAGGATACACACCCAAATATTCTAGGTTGGAGTTTATTTGTAGGATCCAAGTGTGGGTAGAATGAGGATAGGACTTCCATGGGGCTTTTTGAGTCTAAGATTTTAGTGGGCAACCTATTGATGAGATAGGTGGCAGTAAGAAGGGCTTCCCCCCAAAATCTCTTAGGAACATGGTTTTGAAAAAGTAGAGCTCTAGTTTGATCTAATAGGTGCCCATTTTTCCTTTCTGCAATCCCATTCTGTTGGGGTGTGTTTACACATGAGGACTCATGGATTATCCCTTCCTTTTGTTAAAAAGAGTTTAGTACAAGGTTAAAATAATCCTTGGCATTATCAGACCTAATTCTTTTGATACCGACCCCAAATTGATTTTTAATCATTGAGACAAACTGAAAAAACACAGAGCTAACTTCAGATTTTTGTTTTAAAAGAAAAACCCAAGTCACCCGGGTACAATCATCTATGAAGGTTAAAAACCATTTAGCACCTGAGATATTAGGAACGTAAGCAGGACCCCATACATCAGTGTGAACAAGAAAAAATGGGCAAGGACTCATCTTATTGCTAATGGGAAAAGGTACACGCTTGTGTTTAGCAAACTCACACACATCACAGTGGAGACTCTCCACATTTAAATTTTTAAACAAGAGAGGGAAAAGCACTTTTACAACTCGAAATGAAGGGTGTCCTAGCCGGCAATGGTATAGTTGAACTTTCTCTATGTTGGTCATGGTGGATTCAGATATGAGAGAGCGGCTATTGGTAGGCAGATTAGGATCCTCCATGTAGTATAGGCCATTCCATTCTCTAGCATGTCCAATCGTCTTCCCCGAGTTCTTGTCCTGCAGTATACAAGAGTTGTTATGAAAAACAGCATTACAGGAGAGATCTTTTGTGAGTTTTTGTATAGAAATCAGATTGGTGGATAATTTAGGGACATGAAGGACATTTTTTAATGTTATGGATGGGTTTATTTGGACCTCTCCTTGTCCTGCTGCAGTCATAAGAGTTCCATCTGCTGTGGAAATTTTCTTGCTGCTAGGACATGGGGAATATGTGGAGAAATATTTGGGTAGAGGGGTCATATGGTCAGTGGCTCCAGAGTCTAATATCCAGTAACGTGTAAATGGTGTATCTGAAACATTAAGCCCAAAAGAAAGTGGAAACTTACCAGAATATGTTAAGGAGCATGTACCTGTAGGCTTCTCCAATTTACTAAGGAAGGATCTTACCCGCTCTATCTCTTCATGATTCAGCTGGCCAGATCCTTCACTTTGTCCATGACTGATGTGTGCTTGCCCTTGCCCTCCTTTTTTGGGAGGACCTCCTTTCGGCCCCCATTCTCGGCTTGGGGGTTTCCCATGTAATTTCCAGCACTTCTCCCTTGTGTGACGCAGCTTGTTACAGTGGGTACACCAGATATCCTCATGTTTTTTCTCCATGTTGGGAACCCTGCTTCTCCTTTGGTTAGCAACCATGATTGTTCCTCCTTCAGCTATCATTGCCGAACTTTCAGTTATTGAGGTCTCGAGCATCAATCCTCTTCTGCTTTCTTCACTCCGGATAATGGCTACCACTTCATTAAGCCCTGGGACTTTCTCTTTTCCCAGGATTTGGATTCGGACCTGGTCATATTCAGGATTTAGGCCTACCAAAAAATCATAGACTCTATCTTGTTCAATATACTCCTTAAGGATTGTTGAGTCTTCTGAACATTTTGCTTTTATAACTCGATAGTGGTCCAATTCCATCCATAGAGACTTGAGTTGATTAGCATATTCTGTAACAGATCTGCTTCCCTGTTTGGCAGCCACAGTTTTCACTTTTACATCATAAATTTGGGCAGCATCCTTGGCCTTAGAATACGTTTGTTCTACTGCCTCCCAAATTTCCTTTGCTGATTTAAGAAACATGCAGGTATCACTAATTTCTGGGACCATTGAATTCCACAGCCACGCCATGATCATGGAGTCTTTTTCTTCCCATGATTTGAAGTTGGGATCTGTTTCATCAGGTGCACTATCAGTTAGGTGACTGACCTTTCCTTTTCCTTTCAAGATGGTCCTAATAAGTTGAGACCATTTGAGAAAATTCTTCCCATTTAACCGATAAGCAGAATGAACATTCTGCAATTCTCCGGCAGTCTGGGATCTGTCCCCAGTTTCCAGAATAGGATCCACAATCTCAGCCATGACCAGGTGCGATCAAGGTAGAGAAGGTTGCGCTGCAATGAAATCGGCGACAAGGTATAAAGGTAGTGCAGCAATGAAGGCTGCAACTTAGGGTTTACAAGCACGGTCAGAGACTCCCAAGGATCGGGAGTTCTGATACCATATCAAATTTAGAATAAATAATATTGTTGTTATATTATTATGAGGTCACTGGACCTGTATATATACATGAGCTTGTAGTCTATTTTAGGGAATTGGACAGCTAGTTCTAAGGAAACAAATCCTTGTGATTATGGGATTGATCCTAAATAAATAAACCTAATAATTAGCAAGATATACAGCTGTTACAGAATTACTGCAAATATAAACCTTCCTAAAATACATAAAGACAATAACTGTTTTGACATTTTATGTTGTTATAGTATTCTGAAAATTAAAAATATAGTAATGATAAATACTATTTTATCATTCTATACAAAATCATTTTTTTTTAAAAAGTCAAATATTTTTCTATATTTTTAAAAAAATTTGTTTTCGGAAGCCTTTCCCCCCTCTCCCCTCAAACAAAACCTAAGAGACAAAGTTCAAATTCCCTTGGGATCACTTGTAAAATGGCCACTACCCACCGGCACTGTTGACTAAGGATAAATTGGTAACTTTTTTCATGAAATGTAACCCATCAAGGGATGCTCTTGCACTGTGCCAAAAATGATTTTGGAGCGTTTGTTTAAGTTATCTGGTTCAGGAAGTTTTCTCTCGAATCTGTTTGCTTTTTACTCCCTCTGTCTCAAAATAATTGTCGTTTAAGGTTGTTACACACAAATTAAGAAAAGTAATGATTGAGCCAATAAAGGTAATATTTTTATAAAATTACCCTTAACTACTATTGGTTGTTATATATTGTCATAACTTGAAAATAGTGTAGACCAGGGGTAAAGTTGGTAAAAGCTAATCAATGTTGCATTGGGAAAGTAAAGAGACTATTATTTTGAGACAACTTTTTATGGCTAGAAAGACAATTATTTTGAGACAGAGGGAGTAATTCTAGATGAATTTCAATTCTCCTCACATTAAATTTTTGTCCTATACCACTATTCCATAAAGAGACCGCTTGAGATTTATACGAGCAATGCTGTATTTTTTTTATATATAATGTATTTGTATAGAATTTGGAGTTATGTATCCCAACATTTCTTAAGTCGTGAATTTATTGCTGACACTATTTTTTTATTATAGAATGCCTGTAAAATTGGATGGTTCCAGAAGAAAGAGTCAGAAGAACTTTTAACTATTGCTGACGAGGTTTACTTTTATGTTACTAATCATCGCCATCATCATTCATTATAGCTATTTTTGCTATGTGTCATTTTGTTACAATAATCTTTCAAACTGTAGATAGGAAAGATCTACTGCACTCTGGGAAATATTATTAACGGACCTAGTTCTAGCCATTCTGCAGTATTAACTATAATGGAAAGGTAGGGATCCTTGAAACTTCCTCTACATATCTTCGCCTATGTATTTTACCTTATTTTTGAATTAAACTATAATATTTTACTGTGTTTTTATGTAACATGCAACTATTACAGTTAAGTACAAAAAACTAGAACAAACCAAAAGACCTATAAGAAAAAAATGTATTTGAAATTAGACATCTCTCACTATTTCTGATATGCAACAGTAACAATTTGTCTACATGTGGACTGACTTGCAGGTTCTATCCAAGAATGAAATTGGGTCCAATAATTGTGACAATCGAAGCTCAGGTGGTTCTTTGTGATAGTCAATTGTGAAATTTAATCATATTTTTATTGAGAACATATTGAATATCATTTGACCTGCATTGCAGCCTGGATATGGAGCTTCTGCTGTTGACTTCCATATCACAAAGAACAATGTTCACTCAGATAAAAAAATTGTAAGCATTCCCTGAATTGATTTGTTGGTAAAAATGTCAATTCAAACCCTTTTAAGGACGAACTATTCCTCCAATTCTTTTCTTTTTCAACCGCGGTCTTTGTTTTAAGGGTATAAGTGTCAATTCAACCCTTTTAAGGGTATTGTTCTGTTATTGACAAACAATAGTTTTGTCCTTCTTCCTACACTTCAGTTCTGTTATGTTCTTCTCTTCTCTGTTTAAGTTTTTTTGCTCTGTATTTTAGTTTTTTTAATTTTTAAGTATGAATGTCTCTTAAATTTTGTATATTTTTCTATTTTTGAGTATTTATATTTACTATGTACACTGATTTTTAGTCTTTGCGATAGCGGCTATTCCGCTATCCGCAATAGTATTTTAGTTGGTCAGTGCTACGTGACGCTTTCTAGGATTAACAGCATAGATGAAGATGAAAATCAATTCAAAAAGAGTAAAGCCATCAGTTCCCATGCAAATCTACCCAATGAAGCCAAATAACTCATTGTATAGGCTGCTATGATGCAAACTAAAACAAATAAGTCTTTCATCCCCCATTTAGTACCTTTCTTTTCCTATAAGTTTTAGGGTGATTCGCTAATCTCGTACGGAAGAATGAGTTGGAGGTAGAGTTGTACTCTTGACAGGAAAACAATACCGTTTGACCCAGACCATCTTAAGTTCTTTCTTTGATAATGTAATAAAACTCATTTTCTTAACAACTCCAGTCGTCCTCACTAAACTTAATCTTGAATGACATGACACAATGAAAAGGGAAAGAATGCATCTACACAGATTTTGTTTTTAGAAACTTTATGAATGGAGATCATGTTGTTGTAGGATTTTGGGACATGAAGCATAATTGTAAGGAAGAATTAAATAGTTCTAGACCCTACCACTAACCCGTCAACAAGAACTATATGATGAATGTCAGGATAAAATTGAAGATAAAAAGTGTAAGAACGAAAGCTCGTGTGGTCTATGGTACTAAAGTCAATAATCCTTACATCCTGGAGGAACAATACTAGTTATGTTAAAGGGTTGGCAACAAAAATCTTACCATTCATGGCTAGAGAACAAGTGCCTGAAGACATAATGAGAGATTCAAATGGAATATGCAAAGGAGAAAGGAATATAGTGAAACTGCATATCTTAATTACACCACCGAGATTCTATTATATAAGCTCATAGCCAAATCAATAAACAATCAACATCATTGATTACAATGGAATATGCTATTGCCACATATACAAATTTTCCTATATTTAAATATGAGCACAGCCCCCCAAGTTGGAGCATATAAATTAAATGCAACAAGCTTGCTAGGATGAAGATTTAGTAAAAACATGTCAATTCCATGCTTGCGTCAATGTCACGTGATTCAATCTTCTCTCTGAAAAATTGACCATGCTTGGTCCTCGTGAAAAATTGAATTTGAGAAAATATGCAATGCGACTTAATTATCATAGATTAGTGTCATTGGTCTTGCCTCTTCAAATGGAAGCTCTTACTAACTCTTTCAACCAAATGAGTTCACATGTTATTAATGTCATGGCCTTGTACTTTGCCTAAACACCAGATCTTGCAACTACATTATGTTTTTTTAATTTTTTCAAAACACCAAGTTTCCTCCAACAAGTATGCAAGCTTGGATTGCCTATCAACGGGCGAGCCTGCCCAACCAACATATGAGTAACCAACTAACTGTATGTCTTTTATCTTCATAAATGAGACCTTTTACTGGAGTACCTCAGATGTATTTCAGAATCCGAATTGCATCATCCATGTAGGATAGCACCTATCATAAAAAAGATGGTGGGAAGTGGAAACTCAACTTAGGTGGCTTAGGCACGTACGTGGATTATTAAGTTAAGGAGAGAAGATCAGATGGAGGGTATTCAAATCTTTAGATGCCGAGGAAAAGCTAAAAAAACTATAAAAGAAACTGTTTAGAAAGATTTAGAGATTAATGAGTTGAATAAAAATGTGTTATACGATAAAATATCATGGTGTTGTTTGATCCATGTAGCCGACTCCACTCAGTGGAATAAAATTTGGCTGTTGTTGTTGTTGTAACGATTGACAGCACCGTAGAAAAAAAGAGTTAAAACTGAGATGTTCTATCCCATAATAACTCTACCTACTTATGACAATTTTTTGTTAATATACATTATTAATTTTTGTTATTTGAACACACCAACTATTTTAACTTGCAGTGGTTATTGGTGGCACAAACTGATAACATTGAGACATCTGCATGCCTCATCAGCCCTCAGGAAGTAAAGTATGATTTCTTTCAACTTATTTTAATTGCGTAGAGGGGTTGTAAATGGATGCTGACTGTGACTATTTTTACATTTTTTTAGTTTTCTCCTGAATGGAAAAGGAATTGACACAAGGACTAACTTTCGAATGGTCTGTTTTTTTGTTTAAACAAACATTCTAAAACATCTAATTCAGACTATTTTAAGGGTGTAACACCAGTTTGCTATCCATATGTCATTTTGTTTCTCAGGATCCTGGGCCACAGATGCCGACTAATGTGACTAGTGTGCTTAAATTTGGGACAAATCTGCTTCAAGCTGTGGGTCAGTTCAATGGTGAGCATTTAAAGTGTTTTCTTTCCACCCAGTTGTCTTGGTTTTCAACGTATGCATCTCACTGTACGGTAACTATTATCATTGTGAAGGTCATTATATTATACTTGTTGCCTATATGAGTGTTGCATCCTTGCCTGAGCATCCAGTTCTTCCACCAGATTATGTTCAGCCTGCTGTTACTTCCGTCGATTCAGGTATAATATGTATATAGTATAAAATTTACCCTAAAATTGTTTTTTAACTTCTTTCTCTTATTAGCACACCATTTTTATTCATTGCTCTTAACTATTTTTACTATTCTGCTTCTTCATTCTTATCATTCTCCATCTTTATGCATGTAGATTCAGATATTATAGAGGGGGCATCACGATTCTCACTTAATTGTCCGATAAGGTATGCTTTGATTTTCTTTGTTAACAATATTGATCACTTTTCTTCCTTTCTTTATCTGTTGCTAATTTTCTCATCTCTAGACTTTAGATTGAACATGTTAGTGTCGTAGGTAGTTGTCATTTGAGTTCCATTCTAATCTTATTCTTTCTGGGCATGGTCTATCGGTGAATATGCCCCCAATTGACTTTGAACTTAGAATGAGGGAGGTAGTCATTCATGTTCTCATCCTTTTGTAGATGTTAACAATTCACTTGTTAATGGTCTAATAGTGTTTTGGTATGAATGTAATTTCCTTTTCAGAGCCATTCTAATAGTGTTTTGAAGTATCCGTGCTTCATTGTTTTAATGTATTACTATTTGACACTGCCTTTCTTTTTTGCCACTACTACTTTTTTGTTGGATAGTGAGCAAAACCTTTTCTAATATATTAGTTTTAGAAGACTTTTTAATCCTTTATGTTTCTTTTGTGCGTGTGATCCTTGCTTGGTAATTGGTATTAGTTCATGAACCCTCATGCACGCCTTCTGTGAGCAGTAAGCTTATCCAACTTATGAATTAGTAACTACTGTTTATGCCAACCAGTAACTTTTAGTATGCGACTTTTAGCATTAAACTCTTCACAATAATGTTTTTAAGTTTTCTTTGTTTAGCAAGTATGATTTTTCTGTATACTTCTTTTATATTTATCTTGTAGGTTGTTGTGTTCGTTTACTGGAATGCTTTACTCTTGCAGGCTTTATGCTAAGATCACCTGTTTAATTATCCTTAAAGATGGAATTTTTCCTTTTGGATGATAATTTTTTGTTATTTAAAAATTTGTTTTTATGTTTTGAAGTAAAAGTTGATAGTCTTGTGTCTCATCTTTACAAAACAGCTTTACACGTATCAAGACTCCTGTTAAAGGTCGGTCATGCAAACATTTTCAGGTGAGTAATTCATGTATTAACATCACATAGTATGGAGAATGTTGAGTGTGGTTGCTGATTAATTAATTATACACATGTTACTTACCATTAATAATAAATGTGGCCTAGAAGCCTATTGTTCATTTGATTGCTATGAAGTAATTTGTAGTGGCTGCTTATGCCCTTCTCTGCTATAGGGTTGTCATCCGTTTTTCCAATTTCCATTATTATAGTTAAAAGAGTACTGTAAATGTTACCAGTGTTGTTATTTAGTGGCACTATTGCATAGCAGAACTTTAACAACTCTATTATTCTGTGATATATATTCGAGAAAGTATTGGGGTAGCACCTATAATAGAGAAGGTGGTGGAAGACATGTAGATTTTGTGGTAAGGAGAGTAGATCAGATGAAGAGAAATCAAATACAACTAGAGAAAAAGAGAAAGACCTAGAATGATTATAAGAGAAGTTATTAAGAAAGATCTCGAGACTAACGATTTGCATAGAAGCATGGTTCTAGATAGAACATTATGGTGAAAGTTGATCCATGTAGCCGATCCCATTTAGTGGGACACGGCTTGGTGGTTGTTGTTGTTGTATTATTCTGTGATATGCTATTTAGAATAAAATACTGTGAACTAGCGGCTAGAGCGGCACTATAACACTGTTGTGTAGCATGAACAAACCGTTATTTTCCACGATCCACAATTGATAGCACTGAGTGTTACCAAAATGTTTGCAGAATAATACTTGTTAATAAAGTGATAATCTTACGATGTGGTTCTGTGTATGTGGGTGGCTGGGTCTATGTAGGTCAATATATTCCCAGTCTGTTTCCTTCCCTCTACCTTACATCTCTGTTCTCTTCTCTGTAGTGCTTTGACTTTGACAACTTCATTAAAATAAATTCTAAGAGACCTTCCTGGCGCTGCCCCCATTGCAATCAGAATGTCAGCTATACAGAAATTCGTCTAGACAGAAACATGATTGAGGCAAGTTGATTTAGTTTTTTAATCTTTCAATCTAATTACCTTTTGTTTATCTTCTCTCCTAAAGTCAATTTGGTATCACCATAAAATTGGGAATGAATAGTTTAATAATTTATTTTTCATGCTAATCTCTTACCGTATTTCCTCCCCTCCCAATTTTTAATGGCAAACCAAGTTGACCCTAGGGGTGAAAGAAAGGTTGAAAAGAAAAACTAACCCCATTTATTTCTCTCTTTCTAAATAAAGATCCTGGAAAAAGTTGGCGAGAACATTGTGGAAGTGACTGTCCATGCTGATGGATCGTGGCAGCCAGTCTTGGAAAATGATCATGATGTGGGTAAGATACAGAATAAGGTCCACAATTGTGATAAGGAACAGACTGAACAGCAAGAATCTGCTCGATCCCCTGATACATTTCCCCATGTCGTGGACCTCACCAACAAAGATAATGATATGGACGTAATAATGGATACTTGTGAAACTGCAGATAGAAAGCCTTCACAGGGTTCTGCTCCGACCAGTGTTCAAATCGAAGACGATTTTTGGGCTGGACTTTATATTGCCAACACTGGGTCTGATACTCCTACAGTTGGTGTCACCGACCTTGCTGTTCTGGCCGATGCTGTTTCTCCTGCATTAATTCAAGAATCTGAGGGTCATGACAGTATTTCTGCCAATCATAACCAGTTCCTGGCACTGAATAATTTGCAGATGATGAATAATTACATGAGTTCATTTGTTAGTGAGTATGGGAGGTCATCTTCGTCACCAAGACATATTCAAAGGACTCCAGTAGCTGTTCAGGCCCTTCCAGTCCCATCTCAGCCATTAGGACCACAGCAAAATTCAGTAACCAATTTGGATTCCTTGATAACCAGCAGTCCCTCTGCTACTCATGTTTCTTTGTCCAACCCTGCCTCCGCAGATCCTTACAATGCCATACTGAGTGATGCAGAAAGACAGCAACTTTTTTCTCGATCCCCGCTGAACATGCCTCAGGTCTCAGCAGCAACACAGGTTCGCTTCATTAGTGTTCTATTGTTACTCCTTAAATTGGGTGCCAGTTTTGGAGATGCATATTCTGTTCAATTTGCATCTGAAGTGGCAACTTCCTGTTCTTTATATCTCTGTTCCTTTGAAAAAACATGACAACTGCTCATACAATAAAGAAGGACTGAACTTGAATCCTGTTTGAAAATTGATTTTAGGATTAAATTAATTTAAATATTCTTTTACCCAAAAAGTCGGTGGGAAGAAAAATTAAAGTTTTTTGAAATGAGGGAACTGACAAATAGTTTAAATATTCTTTTACCCAAAAAGTTAGTGATGCTATTGCAATGTGTCTAAGTCTCTAACTTTTCAAAGAAATTATACAAGATCAAGTTGTTTAGGGAGCCACTGAAGATGTGAGTGTGTCTTATTTTCTTTGCAGTCGTCGTCCTCCAGTTATATCTTTGGTACTAATTTATATTTATACTTGGTGAACTTGTTGATTATTTTTTTATGTCTTACTGTAATTGATGCCTGTATTGTTTTCATTTATAAATCTGGAAATTTTACAGAAACCTTGCTTTTGAATGTGTTTCTTGGTGTTAATGACTCTTGTACTTAAGTTTTACTTTTCATTAAACTCAGAACCGAATGCCATCCGTTAATATGCCAGCCCCAACTCATAATCGAGTGCCACCAGTTAGTATGTCAGCCACAACTCTTAACCGAGCACCAAGTCATTTGCAAAACCAACAATACAGAGCAGGTATGCTGAATGATTTTAGAAATTCCCACCTGCAGCAAACTCTGAATCCCAGGGCGCATACACCGATGCAACCGTTAAATGCTCAACGATCTCACACTCAGCAAGGGGTTTCACAAACTAATGCAGCTGGAGGTGCAGCAAATAGCCAGCAAGCCAGGGTTATGGCTTCATCACATGTTGCCAGACAAGGTATTTCTCAAGCTGGGATTGTTTGGACAGCTGGAGCTACTTTCAATAGCCAACAAGATCTGGTTATTGCTACTGCCCTGGCTGCTAGACAGTCCCAATCAATTTCATCTCAGAATCCAACTTGTGTAGCAGCCCCATATTTTACAGCTGACAGTTTCTGGGGGTTAACAGGAGAGCAAAGAGGACCACCGGTACAGGCAGTTTCTAGGACCGACGAATTGTTCAATTCACAACCAGATCAGAACTGGCGTCCTACTTCGCGAATGCGGGGAAGTCTTTCAGGTCAGCAGCTTACTGATGACGTTAGGCAGCGGTTAATTATGCCATCATCACAAGAAGCTCAAAATTCAAGACCACAAGGTCCACAACCACAGCCAGGCCGAACAACATCTCAACTGAATGTGCTCATTGCAAACAGTAGAAATGCTCATAATCCTCCGAGACAGTAATATTGTTTTGGAAGTTTTTACCTATGCATGCTTGGAAAGACAGATATTCCATATTAGAGAGCTCAGGGTCATTATGTTCATTGGTTGTAAATATGATCAGCAATAGATGGGGAAACACACAGGAACATGATGCATTCATGTATTTTGAATATAACTACGGAATTGAAAGGGAAAAGAAATCCTATATGTTAATATGGAGAGTTTAGTGAAAAACCACGATAACAAAATCAGTGTGCCTAAATATATGCAGTTAAAAGAAAGTGACTTATTTGAACAAAAAGGAACTGTTATTTCATTCTAATTCTATCTACCTTTTGACCTAAATTTTTTACGTTTCTTTTTTCTATTCTGCTCTTTATTTATCTGCAGTGTTCAAAAGATACTGATACCGTCGTGCAAGTTTTGTTATTTTTTAGTAATGAATAGTTTAATTTAGGGTCTGTTCGTAAGCAGTCTGAATGAATATCTAATTATTATTATTATACCGTGTGTTATAAAATAAGTATAAATAAAACTTTTCTTTAGTTAAGGTAAAAAAAATATATTTTAACTTATTAGATTAAAATCTATATGGATCTAACTGATCTGATCAACAGAAAAAAGAGAATTCAATTTGGCACCCTTAAATTAAACATGACACTTCGTACTTTGGATGATTTGATTAAAATATGAATAAAAATAAGGCTTAAATGTAGTTTTGACTCTCTTATTTATATTTTTCTGAATTTTTGAGTCATCGTTTTCAAAATTCAGCATTTTAGTCTCTAAACATATTGTTTTTTGGCATTTTTTTAGCCTCCTCCACAAATGCATATGTTGCACGTAGGAATGCTGAGCTGTTCAAATAGTTTTGGTGTCACATATTTTAAGTCTATTATTTAATTTTTTTAATTATTATTAAAATTTGAAAATATTTAATTATTATTAACTGAAATTATTGTATTTATAAATTCAGATTCTCTCTTCCGCAAAGATCATTCTCTATTGTCCTAATCCTTTCCTGCCCTAATCTCTCTCTTGCGCAACGATCTTTTAAACTCAAATTTGCGAAGATTTTCATTTTCCACCGTTCGTCCAAGCAGCAACGAAGATGAATAACATTCCATCCATTCCACCGTGTTCGACAGGAAAATAAGATGTTCGTTTCTGTATGAGGTATGCTCTTTGAACTCGTTATCTTTCCTCATCTTGTTTTCACCATGTTTTATACAATATTCTGACGGAAAGTTTGTTATTTATTCAGACCATCTCAAAATCATTGCATTAAGATAAGATTTCATCATAAAAGAAAGTTACTAGAGAGTCCTGTTAAATGGTATGTTGACGGATTAGTGTCTGAATTGGATTAAAAGTGGGATACTGACTACATGTCGTATATGGATTTAGAAAATCTGATAAAGGAGGAGAGATATAGGAATATCAAGTGTATGTGGCATTGGAACCCCAAGTATAGCTTTAGTCGTGGCCTTAGACCCCTAAACTGTGATAGTGATGTTCTTAAGTTGGCTGAGGATATTAAGGGTTTTGAATTAGTGGATATGTATGTTGAGCACTCAATAGAAGTGACTCCTGTTGAGGATAATGTTGATGGCTGTCCAAACTATGCTGATGATGAAGTTGACTCTGATGTTGAAATTATAAGTAATCACGATGAGGCTGAAGTTGAAGTTGGAAGTGAATCTATTGAGACTGAAGTTGAAGTTGGAAGTAAACCATTTGGAATGGATGACGATGATGATGATGATGAAGAAGACTATATTGTAAGTGAGGGTGAGATAAGTAGTTTATGAGGCTAATGAGCATGATGCTAGAAGTGAGAATGTTGAAGAGCATGTGGATTTGGATTGGACAACTGTCATTCATTGTGATGAGGCTGGTGATAAGGCTATAAATTATGAGATGATGATGATGATTCTGATGTGTTACATACACCTAATGAGAGTTGCAGTGATGAGGAACAAGAGAAGTTTCCTTCTTTTGAAAGTGACTCCTCAAAGTTTGAGCTAGGTATGGAGTTTAGTAACAAAGAAAAGGTTCATGAGACTGTGACAAACTATGCTTTGAAGATGAACAAAAATGTTTACGTTAAGAAAAATGATGCAAAGAGGATGGTGATGAAATATACAGAAGACTGTAATTTTCACATGAGGGTTAGTAAAAGGTTGGGAATCAATTTTGGCAAGTAGTTAGTTTAGTTGATGAACACAACTTTTTTAGAATTCTAAATAACAGGCAAGCAAAGACTACATATTTGGCTAAGCAGTGTGGTCACATTCTAAGACACAACCCTGATATGAAGCCAACAAGATTGATTTCTCAAGCTATTGATAGATGGGGAGTTAAATTGTCACATGATCATGCATATAGAGCTAAAAGAAAGGCTATGGATTTGTTACAAGGTGTTGCTATGGATCAATTCAACCATTTGAGAAGTTATGCCCAAAAGTTACTAAAATCTAACCCTAATAGCAGTGTTGTGATCAGATGTTCTCCGTCAAATGAAGGCCCTGTGTTTGAAAGGATTTATGTATGTATAGAGGCTTGTAAATATGGTTTTGAAAATTACTGTAGGTCATTGATTAGGTTGGATGCCTGCTTCTTGAAGGATGATTTTGGAGGGCAATTGATGGCTGCTGTTGGGAGAGATGGAAACAATAAGATTTTTCCTATTGCTTATGCGGTTGTGGAAGCTGAGACAAAGGATTCTTGGGATTGATTCATCAAACTTCTATTGGAAGACTTGGAAGTTATAAACAAAAGAGCTTATGTTTTTATTTCTGACCAACAAAAGGTAACACTCTAGTTATTATTTTCTGACTTGTAATTAATCATTGGCCTTATTTGTAACATTGTAATTGTCTTGTTTGTATGTTAGAGATTGGTACCAACAATTCAAAGCGTGAGTGCTCATGTTGAGCAACGCCTTTGTGCAAATCACCTATATGGGAATTAGAAGAAGAAAAATCATGGGCTTGAATTCATAGAGGTTATGTGGAGTATAACAAGAACAATAACTGTACCAGAATGGAAAAGGGCAATGGAAAATATGAAGAGTATGAAACCATCTACATGAAAGGAAATGGTGGATATCCCTGCACATTATTGGAGTCGATCTCACTTCAAAAAATATTCTAAATATGATCTTCAGGTAAATAACATGTGTGAGGCTTTTAATAGGGCTATTCTAAAATATGTGGGTAAGCCAATCATCACTTTGTTGGAAGAGATTAAGCACTACCTTACTAAGAGGATAACTAAGCAAAAGGAAGTCATGAGTAACTACAGTGGTGACATATGCCCTAGAATACAACTGGTGCTTGAAAAGAACAAGAAGAATACAGATCATTGGACTCCTACATGGCATGGTGATGATGACATGGCAATATATGACGTGACTAATAGAAAAAGACACATATGTTGTTAATCTAAAGAAACAAACTTGTGCATGTAGGAAATGGGATTTAACTGACATCCTTTACAGTCATTCTATCACATGTATGTGGCAAATCAAGAGAAAAACTGAAGAATATGTTTCTCAATATTACAGGTATCAGTGAAACACTAACTGGTTTATGTTAATGACAATCTGACTGGTTTATGTTTAATTGTAATCTGACTTGAAATTTGACTTGTAGGAAGAGTAATTTCAAGAACATTTACTTACACATTATTTATCCTACTAATGGTCCACAACTGTGGCCTTTGGATGAGCCGTCCATTATGAATCCACCAGTTATGAGAATGACTATAGATCATCCAAAGAAAATGAGAAACAAGGCTAACGATGAACCAAAAAACCCACATGTTCTTTTTAGAAGATTGGCAACCGTCACTTGTCATAAGTGTGGAGCAATGTGTCACAACAAAAAAAAGCTTTAAGGGAAAAAGGGATGCTGAAAGATCCATTTCAAAAGGTGGAAATAATAAGAAGTCTAAAAAGGGTGGTCAAGGGAAGAAGAAAAAGACAACTAAATTTGAGATTGGAAGCTCATCACAAGCCCCTCCAACTAGACAACCATCTCAGCAGTAGTATCATATAAATATTTGTTGTTAGTTTGAGTACCTTTTGTAATGTAATGCTCAAGTACTATGAGCAATGATCAAGTATCTTTTGTTAGTTTGGATACTTTTTGATTAACCAGTAATGAACAAGTACTAGGTTAAATTGTAATGTTATTATGATATTATGTTTAATGAACAAGTTTTATGATTAATTTGTGTTGTTATTTTGATACATTTTGTTATCTGTCATGAAAGCATTAGTGAATTGGCTGTAGGATATAAGAAACTGTTATATGTTATCTGTAATTTCAAATAAACTTGATATGTTTTCTGTAGGATATAACAAACCATTAAAAATGACCTGTAATGAACATATAAATCTTGATACATTTGGAATAACATTGATATAGCTGATACAATTGAAACAAAATAATACAACATTCATATAAATCTTGATATAACAAACTGAAATTACATTTGGAACAACATTGATATAACTGATACAATTGGAACAAAATGATACAACATTCATATAAATTTTGATATAACAAACTGAATTACATATAGAACAACATTGATATTACATTAGCTGATACATTTGGAACAAACTGAGACAAAACATTGAACAACATTTGACATCCTAATTCATTACAAATCCTACAACTAGTCCTACTACCAACACAACAACCATAACAATCAATAACTTCAAATACTTGATCTCAGTCTTCAAATTCCTAATCTTCCCGTTCAATTCATCTTCTTGGATCTTCCCTGCATCAATTTTGAGCTTTGTTATATTCAGTCTCTGATTCAATGTTGAAATCATGTCTTTTGCTCTAGGGCCTATCTCTTCATCATACCAAACAAAATGATTGCATCGCTTATACCTCTGAATCTACATAAATTTACAGAAGAAATTTACAGCAATTCTCAGTGATAACTGGTGAAAATTACATATGGAATTTACATAAATTTAGATAGCTTATGACCTTGTACAT